TATTTCAGGAATCCATGGGTACACCCATTCATTACTAAACCAGATGGGGAGACCTGATATTAGGAAACAACTAGAAGTTTCTTCCACAGGGTGTCTGCGGAGGAACATCAGGTGGTTGAGTATTAACAGACTTGAGAGTTAAAAAAAAAGTCAGGTCTGGAAATAAAGTTTTGAAAGCTCTCGCATGTTAGGTAAGATTTTGAGAAGGGAAGACAGGGGCTGAAGAGAGCGTAGAGTGGGAAGAAAAGGTCAGGAAGAGATCTGTAGGGAATCACTGACATTAATGATCACTCAACAAAGGACGACTCAGCAGGGGCCCAAGAAGAATGCTGAGGCCAGGAGCTGGATACTTAGGACAGGTTTCAAGGAGAGAGTGATCAGCAGTATGCAGGGGGAAGAGAAGCTGCTATTGTCTTCACGTGTCCTCCAAAATTCTTATGTTGAAACTTAATTGCCAATGTAATAGCATTAAGAGGTGGGGACTTTAGCAAGTAGGTTCATTTCCTTCTGCCACGTGAGAACAAAGCAATAAGGTCATCACCAGACATTGGTTCCTGGTGCCTTGCTCTTGGATTTCCCAGCCTCTAGAACTGTGAGAAATACATTTTTTTTTTTTTTTTTTTTTTTTGAGACAGAGTCTCACTCTGTCACCCAGGCTGGAGTGCAGAGGCATGATCTTGTCTCACTGCAACCTCCACCTCTCAGGTGCAAGCAATTCTCTGCTTCAGCCTCCTGAGTAGCTGGGATTACAGATGGCCACGACCATGCCCAGCTAATTTTTGTATTTTTAGTAGAGATGAAGTTTTACCATCTTGGCCAGGCTGGTCTTGAACTCCTTACCTTGTGATCCACCTGCCTCGGCCTCCCAAAGTGCTGGGATTACAAGTGTGAATCCCACTGCACCTGGCCTACATTTCTTTTTTAAAATTTATTTTCTTAAAAAAATTTTTTGGTAGAGATGGCATTTTGTCACGTTGCCCATGCTGGTCTCGAACTCCTGGACTGAAGTGATCCTCTTACCTTGGCTTCTTGAAGTGTTGGGATTACAGGCATCAGCCACCACACCCAGGGAAATTTCTGTTCCTTATAAATTACCCAGTTTGCAGTATTTTGTTAGAGCAACACAAGTGGACTAAGGCAGATGCCAATTAAGAAAAAGATCTGGTCTTTAAAAACATAAGAAGCTGTGGTTGTCCTGTTTCAAATCAAAGGCTAACTCACTTATTTTTCTAGAAGGAGATCTGTGTGACCAAATGACCTTCTGGAACTTGGAATGTGTGTAAATCCCACTGTAAGGATGTGATGGTTAATTTGGTCCTAAAGTCAGGCAGAAAGGCAAACACCACGTGATCTCACTCATATGTGGAATCTAAAAAAGTTGATTTCATAGAAGTAGGGAGTGGAATAGTGGTTACCAGAGGCTGGAGGGTAGGGAGGAGAGGAGAACAGGGAGAGGTTGGTCAGCGGGTACAAAGTTACAGTTGGACAGGGAGAACAAGTTCTGGTGTTTTATCACACAGCTGGGTGACTATAGCAAATAACAATGCAGTATGTATTTCTATAAGCTAGAAGAGAAGGTTTTGAATGTTGTCACCAAAAAGATGATGATAAATGTTTAAAGTGATGGATATGATAACTACCCTGATTTGATCATTACACAGTGTAAACATACAGTGAAACATGACACTGTAACCCATAAATACATACAATTATTATGTGTCAATTAGAAATAAAAATCAATAAAAGATTTAGGCTCAAGGCTGATGAAAGACACAGCTCCCTGTCCCTTCTCAGTGGAGGACAAGGTGGTCACTCACCATCTCTGTCCCTATGGCCAGGTGGCTGAGGACCAGAGGAGGCCCTGGGGCAGAAAATGGAACCCAGCCTGAAAGCTCAAGGGGCTAAGTTTAACCTTTGCCTTTTGTCTGGCTCCAGGGAAGGAATCAAGATGCATACATAAGTGAACTCACATGCATGCACTAGGAGATATGTACAAGGATGGTAACTGTAGCATTATCTGTGAGCGGGAAAGACTGGAAATAACCCAAGTGCCTATCAACTGGAGAGGAGATGAATAAATCATGCTGTAGGCATTCAATGGACTTCTATTTGGCAGATAGTGAATAAACTAGTTCTCTGTGTGTCTCAATATGTGCAAAAGCAATATTGAATGAAAACAAAGCATGTTGCAGCATGAAAGCAGTTATGTAAACTAGAAAAACCACAGAAAGAAATACTGTAAGCTTTTTACAGAAACATAAATATGGTTTAGGTATAAAAATACGGATGGGAGAGTATTTACCAAACTCACAGTAGTGGCTGTCTTTGGGGAGGAGGTGAGGGGGGACAGTCACTTTGGGGAGGATGGTGACTTGGACTAGAACCAAGGGGGTTTCAGCTTCCTCTGTACTGCTCTTTTCTCTTATTCAAAAATATTTGAAGAATGGGAAAAGGTGGCTAATTTAATTACTTAATAGGAAAATGTAAATTAAAGCCACAGCAAGGAGGAAGGGAAGGAAGAGAAGAAGGAGGAGGAGAAGAAAAACTCTTGTAAGATACCAGTACACGCCCACTAGAATGGCTAATATTAATGAGTTTAACATATCATATGTTGGCGCAAATATGGAGCAGCTGGAATTCTTAGACATTGTTGGTGGGAGCGTATATTCATTCAAGCCATTTGGAAAACTATTTGGCAGTATCTTTGAAAGCAAAACATATGCCTATCCTGTGATTCTGAAATTCCACCCCTAGATGGAAACCCAAGAGAAGTGAGTATACATGTGCACCAAAATAAATGTACAAGGATGTTCATAGCAGCTTTGTTTACACTAGCCATTGACTAGAGATAATCAAACCAATGTGGTTATTCTACTCCTAGATATAGATGTTAGAGGCTCTTAATCATGTACTCGAGAAGACAGGTGCAAGAATATTTATTGTAACACTATTTACAACAGCAGCAACAACAACAAAAGCAAAATAACAACTCAAATGTCCACCCTCAGGAGGATGCATTAATGCTGCAATAACATAGATGAATGTCATAGACATTATGTTAAGCAGAATAAGCCAGGCATAAATGAATATATGCAATGTAATTTTGTTTTAAGGAGCTCTGGAATAGGCAAAACGAATTCCCAGTGTCAGGATTCAGAATAAGGGTTCCTTATGGGTTGCTACTGATTAGAAAATAGCATAAGAACCCTTCTGGGGTGATGATGATATATTACATCTTCATCTGAATGGTAATTACACAGTTGTTTACACAAGTAAAAATTTATTGAACTGTACACTCAAGATTTGTGTACTTTATTGTATGTTTACATCTCGAAAATATCGGAAGCAGGAATGACAAAATGTTAACATATTTTAATTCTTGGTGGTGGGTACCCAATCTCTATGTTTTCCTATATATTAGAATATATTTATAATTAGGAAAGAGAGACGGCACTAATTCTCTGGAATTAAAGTGATGCTCATCTCAGAGGCGGTGACACTCCATTTGAGTTTGGGCCCCTTGCCCAGCCATCTTCCCAGTATGTGGGCAGGTTCCCTTACAATGGGGTGCAGTTGGCAGCAGCCAACCAATGTCTCCTGGGTAGAGAGCTTCTTCATTTGTCCCTCTGTCAATTACAGTGGCTGTTAAAGATGGGGATGTTTCGTAGGCTCCTCCGAAGATCAGCTCGACTGATTCTTTGGCTGACAGGGACCCTGAGCCATCATGCAAGAGTGGGGTTGGATGTCTACTTCTCTGCACCCCAGCTCTGGCCACAGAGGGAGAGCTGCATTTGAAGGTAGCCCTATGGCCTCGGCTCCCAGATTGGTTGCTGATCTGCTGGCTCAGGGCATCACCAGTGGATGCCAGGGGCAGGTCAAAGAGGAGGGTTAGAGAGAGAGAGAAAAAGAATGATAAAGAAAAGGTGATAAAGAAAAGGGGAAGAAAAAGTTAAAATGAAAGCTGCAGATGCCCTGTGGTGTTGCTTCCAGGACCTAGGCTCTCTGCTCTATTTCCTTACACTGCAGGAAGTCAGAGCTTCCCCCAGTGGAGGAAGGACGGGGTGGTGAGGCCGAAAGTGGTTCTCAAACCACAGACCTGCTTTTCTACCACTAAGTGACTGGCCAGCTACTTACTCTCTCTGCGCCTCAGTTTCCCCGCCTGCAAAAAAAAGGGGCATTAATTCCACCTCTCATGGCTGCTGCTGGGAGTTGGAAATGGTGCACACCAAGTCCCGACGCCTCGGAGGACCCCGACCAGCGGTGTAAGATGCTTGCTTCCCTCTGAGTCTGTGGGTCAGGAACCCTCGCAGCGTTGCCCGACAGAACTTTCTGCGGCGATGGCTGCTGAGAGGCTGAAACGTGTCTAGTGTCATGGAGGGGCTGAGTGTGTCACTCTGTGGCATGTGAATTGCACTGTATTTAATTAACCATCTGTGGCGAGCGGCTAGTGCTCGCTCAGCGCACAGGCCAGAGCGTTCGTCCCCGGAGCCCGCGGGGCAGGGTGGCTCGTTCCCACCGACTGCAAGGCGCCTGGTCTACGCAGCAGTTTGTTCCCATAATAAATCGCTTCTGGAGAAAGTCGGGCTGTCGCGAGCGCCCAGGGCCGTAGTTCAGACCCCCGCTCTCCGCGGCGGGAACAGTTCAGGACTCCCTCCACTCCTGCCCCTCTCGCCACCTCCTCCACTCGCCCGCCCACCATCTCGGAAGTCCCCCTGGAACAATGCGGAGGTGACCTCCGCGTCCCCGACATCCGGCTGGGCCACGGCCGCGGGCTCCTTCATCCCTCGCCGCCAGCCCGGGAGGCTCTGCATACCCACGTCTGCGCGCTCTGCGGCTCGCGGAGGTGCTGGGCACACGGCGGGAAGCAGCGGAGCTCGCGCCCAGCAGTCAGCTTTGGTGACGCCGAGACCACCGCGTGGGCCGGGTTGTCAGGGCGCGCGGCGAGCGGCGGATAAATATTTGGGGGTGTAACCCAGGCTCCAGCGACTCCTCGTCACTGCGGTTCCCAGGCGTGCGCGTGGCGAGGGCGGTGCCTGAGGGCAGAGGCGTCCCCGGAGGGCGGCGGGGACAGACCCAGCGCTCCGGCTCCTTGGCCCCGCCCCGCCCCTGCCGCCGGCTGCTATAAGACCGCAGAGCCTGAGCGGGCGAGGGGGAGGGCGCGGACCGTGCAGAGAGCGGCGCAGTGGGAGCGCAGCGACAAGGGACTGGCCGGGCGGGAGTGCGCGGGACAGCGAGCCCCGGAGTAGCCCCGGCCGCCACCTCTCAAGACCCAAGGCCTCGCGCGCCGGGCACCGCTGAGCCGCCTTATGAAGCCGCCTGCGGCGCAGGGCAGCTCCGCTGCCTCCGCGGCTGCAGGTGAGTGCGGGGTCCGGGGTCCCCTTAAAGTCTCGGCTCTGCAGATGACGGGAGAGAAAGGAGGTGCCCCGTGTCGTCCCTTCACACCCCTGACCTTTCCATCCTCCCCGGGGGGACCCTGTCCCCGGTCGCTCCGTGCGGGCGGCTGCAGCCTCCCTGCCCGGGCTGGACCCCATGTCCCACCTTCCCGCCGACTAGCTCCGCGCGCGCCCGGGATTGGACCGAGCGTGGGGACAGGTACCTGGCAGCACCTGGGGAGGAATCTGGCCTAGCCGGATCGCTGGGTGACTCTGGGCCTGGCGGAGGCTCCGTTTTCTTGTCTGTAAAACGGACTTGGTAATGAATGGAACGCGCTTCGGGGGTGGTGGAGAAGATTACAAGGTAACAGCGACTGCGTGGCTGTCAGTTGGCAGAAGCGCAGTGCGTGTCAGTAATCCTTGGGAACCGCGGCGGCCACTCCTGGCCCCGGGACGGGTCCCGCCGCCACCCCCACCCCCTGACCCTCTTCGGTGCACTGAGCCCCCGGCCCTGCCCGCAGCCCCGGCCTTGGACTCTGCGGCCGCGGAGGACCTGTCGGACGCGCTGTGCGAGTTTGATGCAGTGCTGGCGGACTTCGCGTCGCCCTTCCACGAGCGCCACTTCCACTATGAGGAGCACCTGGAGCGCATGAAGCGGCGCAGTAGCGCCAGCGTCAGCGACAGCAGCGGCTTCAGCGACTCGGAGAGTAAGTGTGGCCCCCGCTAGGATGGCGCCGGGATCTCCCAGCTCCCAGGACCTGGCCCGCGAAGGCTGCGGCCTCAGTTTTCTTATCTGTAAACTGAGGGATGGTGTCCAGACACCAAGTCCTGAAGCTCAACGCAGTAGGCCGAGGGTTGGCGGGGCCCCTGACGGTGAACATGGGAAAGGTCGCTCGAGAGCAGGTTGGTCCACCTGCCGCCCGCAGGTGTGTCACCAGGCAGGCGGGTTTAAGCAGCTTGTCCTGACAGCCAGACAGGGCTCCCTGGTCCGGCACCAGGCCTTTCCACATTTTCCCTCCTCTTCTTTCCGTGCCTCTCCCCTCTCAGCTGTAATTTTGCAGATGTGGAACAAGTGTCAGTGGGATGAAGGGGCTCAGTGGGGACATGGGAGGGTGCAGAACGGAAATATTCATGAAACCAGGAAAGGTTTCATAAGTCCAAACTGCTGTTCTTGGGATTTATGAAATAACCTCTTGCACTTTCCTTTGGTCCTGAGCTTTGAGACTTGTTGCTCCATTGCATGCAGTTGTGAAAATCTTTGGCAGTGCTGAGTTCAAGTATTTTTCAGCCAGGTCCTCCACCAGGCTACAGGGGGAGCCAGAGAGCACATGGGTGTGAAGGTGCTGCCTGGTGACCTTTCTCACAATGGAGACCACCCCAGGGTCTCTTTGTCCTGAACAACCTTGTCAAAAACAAACAAACAAACAAAACAATAACAAAAAAGAGCTTTTTCCAGGAACTCACATGTCCTGGTAGGATTACAGGTACCTGTTTAAATGTCAAACAGCAAAAATTAGGTGCCTTTTTAGTATTACATGGTTGTTGGTTTCAAATCCAGAATTACTTATTGTTTTTCAAAATGCAAAGCCAGTTTTAAACTCTTCTGTGTTATTCTTCAGTCTTTAATCCCTAGATGGGTTACAAGCATGAATGTCACTCCTTTTGCTGCTCTTGACTTGGGAGGTGAAAGTAATGGTCTTTGCTTGTGATTCTCTTGTTTTGAAACCTGGAGCTCCTCCGTGTTCCTGGGCTAAGAGTCAGGGCTAGATTTGAACATGAGCTGCCCTTCTGCAAAGGGATAAATGTGCTTGCTCACCACCCTGGTCAGGGTTTGACTCAGAAAGCTGACTTCCAGCTTGAGTTTTCTCAAGTTTTCTAACCCCACCTCCAGAGGGTTAGATCAAGCTGCAGCTTTTGAGGTGAAAGGGGATGGAAGAAAGTACTGTTACTTTTCCACTTAGAATTTTTTGGACTTTTCTTTCCCAACAAACAGGTTCATTTTCAATTTCGAAGGGAAGTGTTAACATTTTTGAAATTCATCTCAATTCCTAAGGCCCAACTGAAATATGTTTCCTTCTACTGGGCATGGAGCAAGTTATTCATCAAATACAGATTCTTCCATGGAAAAGAAAGCTGGGACAGTGTGTCATCGCTGCTCTGTGGCAAACACAGCTCCTTTCTAAGTCACAGTCTCACTCCCCTAGAATAGGTCTGAGCTCACCCGTTCACCCGTTCATGGATGATTGCAACTTCCACTGGGTGGGATTTCACCTTCAGGATCTGTTTTCAGATGCCTTAAAGAGAAGGCATCAAAACACATTCTTAACATTTTCGGGGAAGACATTTGGGAGTTTGTAGTTTTGCTTAGAATAAAAGAGAAGAGTTTGTAGTTTTGCTTAGGTTATATGCATCTATTTTGTATTCTGCTTTTGTTGTTACTAATTCTTGTTTGGTGGTTAGAGAAGTGATGGGAAGAATATAAAGCAGGCTCAGGTGACATTTGTCTTTGCTTTAAACGTGTAGTTAAATATTCTTGGCAGAAGCTGTGTGTATCTAAATAGTAATTTCTTAAAGGAAGCATAATATGTGTATCTTACTTGCTGCCAAGAATTGAGTACAGACATTTGTTATGCTCATTTGTCTGTTTAATGCTTTTTTGTGGAAGAGAACACTTAAGAGAGGTAGATCCTACTGAAATTTACATCAAGAGGGAGACACACCAGGACAATGATAATAACACCTGCTTACTGTTACGAAACCCTTGCTGTGATGATGATTTATTAGCTAGAATGGAAACCATGTCTTCACGAATAGACTGCAGATCACATGCCTGTTTGTCAATGATGGCTGTTTGTGAAGGTGTCTCTCTGAGGCGGTGGTCATCTGGCAGGGCCAGTGGATCCTAGGCTGAGCCTTGTCAAGGCCCTGGGTGATGAGTGGGTTTTAGTTTCTCTAGCTGTAAAATTGAAAGGATGTATTTAATAGTGCTATTATAAAGAAAATATTTGCTCTGTTGAGTGCTTTCAAAATATCATTAAAACGTACATGCTGTGCTATACCACACAGATACATTGGAGCCAGTGTCTCGCATGAAAATAGTTTGGATGAAGCTGCAAACCAGCGTTACCTTTAGTTTTTGCTCTAGCTTTTACAGCTCTGTCTGAAGGTGCACCAACCTCACAAGGAAGATTAAAACAGTAATGCTGTTCTTTGAAGAGAATACTTCTTTGTTCTCATTTAAAAAAAAAATTTAGGTTGCTTGCACCTAAAGGCAAAAAATAGCCATTCCTTGTACCCAAAGAAACAAGTTACTTACATAGGAGAGAAGAACGGATATTTCATAAGGAAATACTCCTTCCTGTTCCCACTTTCAAGGAGGCCTCTTAAGACCTGAAGAGGACCAAAATATCAATTGCAGAATAACTTCACATGGGGGTGGGGGTGGGGTGGAATTCAAATGTAGTTGATCAAAATAGAGTTGTTCCTTTCCTTTAGACTTGATTCCAACATGTAAAAACATCAGGCACTTTGGTGGGAGTAATTTTAGCTTCAGCGGTAAAAGGGCAATGCTATGAAGAGTTAGGGTAGTGTTTCTCCAACTTCATCCTCAGAGGTGCTTTAGAAGTTGACTACCTTTGATTCAAATTTATTTTTAGAAATATATCTTCTTTTAAGTATTTTTAAAACTGTAAAAGGTACACTGTGATTTCTCAAATGAGTTAAAGTAAATTTTAACTCATTATGTTTTGAGTTTTAACCAGTGTGTTGACTCTATAAGAAGTTCATGATATTAACTTAAACTTCAAAAGATGGTATGCACTTATATCTTTAAGGTATTCGGGTTTCACATAATTTTTCCTGTGAAGGGGGATATGTTTTGCTGCTCAATAGAAAAGGCCTGAATTCTACTGTGTGTGCTGCCATTATTATGATATTGTAAGACCATTTAAGGAAAGAACTGGCTTCTTTAGCATCAGCAAGACGTAGTACATCTGCATATCTTTGCCTAGACTATTCTGGTCTGGCCCTGGGAGAGGGGACCTTATGGGTCCGGGGGGACCAGCATGGCAGATGGCTTATGTGGCTCAGAAGCCACCAAGGCTAGAACCTGAACTTGTTTAAGCCATGAGAGGATAAGGCCAGTGAGGAGCCCTCAAGGTTCCCTGGTACTGTATTAGCAATTCTGCAGGGTGACAAGTCTTGTAATGCCTCGCAAGGCATGTAGAGGGACAGGGTGGTCCCAGAAGGGGAGCCAGGACAATGGTGGAGAAGGTGAGGTAAGAAGCTCTTATTCCGCCCCACTTTGGCGAGGCTCTCGGAATTCAGATTTGGGGGAGGAGAATTCAACCCACACCCCCAGCCATTCCCTGTGGCAAAAGGGAAACAGGCCCAGAGCTTTCTTTTTCTCAGTTAATGACTATAGTTTGCTTGCTTTAAAAGTGTGGGATGGTTCTATATTTATAGGAGCTCTGGGCAAGGTTTGCTGTCTGTGGTTTTACTTCCCTCTGGAGCTGCACGTTTACATGGCCTAACCCTAAATTACCTTTCTCCCAACTCCCCAAGCTAAAAAAAAACACACCTACCTTTTAAATAAGACTCTGTTTTGCAGCAGAGTTTCTCAAACTCTGTTAATTGTATATTTCATATGCTTTTATTTCTTTTGATGATGCCTTAGAAAACGTGGTCCCAGAATTTGAGGTTCATGGCTTCAGTGCACTAAGTAGTCTTTCCAGGGATGTTTCTAATGGGAATTTGAGATACATGTGAGATGGTGCTTTAGAGCTTAATCAAGCCGATGTTGTAGGGCCCTCAAATATCCAGCCCTACTACCTGCCAGGGTTCCCCAAATCATCACTGTTCTAGGTCCCTATTAATAGCAGCACCTGACATCCAGGTGGGGCCATAATAAATTATTAGTATGTGATCAGTCAGCAACACATTGCCGTAATTTTATCAGACTAACTGGCCATTATTTTTTGCAAGGAATAGAGTTCCAGGGGAGGGAAAAGAACAGAAAGTCAGGCCTTGCCTACCTAGAAATCTGTCTCAGCACCTTGCGTGAGATTTTGTCCATTGTATGTTCTTAATAAAACTCCATGGAAAGAATTTTTTTTTGGTTGAGGATGAAGAGATGTCTAGAGCTTGGAGTACCTCTATGCTGAGGGTTTGTTCTTGGGAGATTTGTTCTAGGATACCACTGAAGAGGAAGTTCTCTTAAGAATTTTGCTGCTGTCTCTCAAGAAGAGGGAGAATCTTGATTCTGTTTATTCTCTGTGGTTACCTTTTCTGTTTCAGGAGCTCTATTCTTCATCTTGCCAGGAACTTTAGAATTAAAGCATTAAAACCGCAGGCATTATACACAGAGCGCCTGGTTATTGTTCTTCTCCTGCCAAGGAAGAAACAGAGTGACTTGTACGGGGTCATGCAGTTTTCATGTGGCCTCTAGACGCCCACTCGACAGTGGCATAGACACTAGATGCCCACTCGCCAGCGGTGTAGCTCTGGGGCCCTGAGGGCTCTCTTTTCCTCTGTGCCATACATGTCGTGTAGATATCATCACAGGGTGCGCCGCGGCTGCAGCAGGTTTGGCTCAAGGATGTGGCATTTGTTTCCTCCTGATGGTTGAAGGTTGAACATTTCAGAACTTGGAGTTGGGTCTGTCCCAGACTGGGGACAGCCCCCAGAATGGGGCTGGAGAAATGGGGCTGTACACCTCATGGAAAGAGAGTGAAGTCACGGTGTGGCAACAAGCCAGGGTGTGAGCTAATGTGTGTGTGTGTGTGTGTGTGTGTGTGTGTGTGTGTGTGGTGGGCGGGGTGGGGCGGGCGGAGGAAGTGAGCATAGCGGTGCTGCTGTGCCTCCGTGTGCATGTGTTTCTGTATAAATAGATATCGTAACTGGTATTTTTCCTCCTCTCCCTCCCTCACTGTGGGAGTGGCTGTCAGTTTGTCTGTATATTTTCTCAGTTTGGGAAAAACACTCACATCAAGAAGGCGTTTAGCCTGTGAACCTAAAGGATCAGAGGACAGCGCTGGCAATATTCTAGATCTGAGGCTCATTCTCTACGGATTCTCTCCAGGCCTCATGAGTTACCCTGGGCTTTTCCCGAATCTTCGCTGAATTTCCTTTTCCCCCGCTGCCATCCTCTTTTGCAACGGCCTTTCCATATCTCTACTGTTCCTTTCCCCAGCATTCGGCAGTGTTTGGCCCCCTTGCCTGTGAGGTGAACCAACTGTGGTGTGCTTCTCCCCCTGCAGAGGAGTGTGCGTGAATGGAAACTTGCTGGGGAGCTGGAGCAGAAGGGAGCTGAAGTTCAAAGTCAGGGAAGGGCCTGTGGTGCATGCCGGGTGGGTGGAGTGAGCAGTGGCTGGAAAGTTGCTCTCCCAGTCCAGCTGCTTGTGGGAGATAGACAGCGGAGGTGCGGTCCCTGTGATCTGGATCAGCCAGCCTGCCTCTGGGCCAGGGCTGGGCCTGAAGCTCTCAGGTATCCTTCATAGCACAGACAATGTGCCACGGGCCTCCTGTTTTCTGGCTTGGAGTCTAGGCACGAGGCCTGCCACCCCAGGACGCTTTGTGGTTTTCTTGCCCCTAAATCTTGCCTTCTCTCTATGAGTTTCTCAGGCTGTATTGGTGGCGAGTCTCCTGGTGACTGCATGGACAACAGTAAGGCTCCCTTGCAGGTGTGCAGTGGGTTGGGGTTGGGAAAGGCCTTCCCTTGGGGGAATCTGGAGAGCTCCTTTGGAGGTGGGCTTGGTGGAGGGAGCCAGCAGGAGGGTTTCCCGGGAAGGGTTCCACAGAGTCCAGGGGTCCTGAGAAATAGCAGCAGGAATGCCACAAAAAAAGTGTCCTGTGGTCAGGTACACTGGAGAAGTGGGGCTGGACTGGTTTTGTTTAAGCACAAGTCTTCTTGGGATGTTGGAAGTGGGCATATGCCATGGGAATCACCAAGCGTTGGCTGGTGTTTCTCAGGTGTGCTTGCTCAGACAGCCCTTGGAGGACCAGCACTCTGAGGAATGTACTTTTGTGGAAATGTAGGTATCAGGTCAAGGGTTTTGGATCTCAGTCTGTGTTCATCCTCAAAACCAGTGATGGTGGTCGTTTAGGTGAGCTGGGCTGGAACTCTGCAGGAAGTAAAGATTCTGAGGATTTCTCTCAAGGGTCTTCTGGGCATGTTTGGAAAAGTGGACAAGATTGTGGTATCCACAAAAAAGAAAAGGGGGCAGGTGGGCCCCTGGGCAGGAGAGGGTGGGGAGAAAGGGAGCCAGGTGGGGCACCAGAGAAGTTGTGGCAGCCTGTTAGGGATAAAGCCAAGTTTCCCTGGGACCAGAAACCTCTTCTTCCAAAAACCCTGATTTTTTTTAGGACTGGGCCTATCTTTTGTCACTTAGGCAAATTCCTTCTCAGTTAATGGGACCAAAGAGAGATGTTTTTGCCTCCCCCAGAGCTGGAGGTAATTGGCTTAAAGTGGAAGAATCCCGAGGAGGCGGGAGACTTGGTCAGGTCCCTATCATTCGGCTGCTCTCTTGCACCTGAAGAGCCACTTCTCTGCTCCAGCTGTGGCTGGCTTTGTGTTTCGTTTGAACCAGGAAGGCTGTTCCCTGTGACCTCAGGGGCCACATCCTGCTTCTGCTGCCTGCCCTGCCTTTGTGCCCTTTGAGTCAGTGCTGCTCAGCCAGCAGCCCCTTTCTGAGTCACAGCCACACAGCTGGGCCAGCCGTGGGTTGGTTTCCTTCCCCGTAGCAGGACTTAGAGAATCTCAGAATTTTAGAGCTGGAAGTGCCTTTAAGGATATTTAGTCCATCTTCTCATTCTATTGATAAGTAAGCTAGGCCCAGAGAGGCCACCTTATTCAAAGGCACCCGAGTACTTAGTAGTTTACTGGGTGGTCCCCTTGACTCCCGGGTCAGCCTTGAACTTCTGGGGCCTCATCTTGCTGTCACTCAAGTCTTTGGAGGTATGAGAATAGAGGGAGCCATGAAGTCACTCCAATTGTGTAATAGATGAACTTCTAGGAGAAGATGTCTTTATCTTTGACCTTCTGGCTTATCTGAAGAGTGCAGACTCTTAGGAAAACCTCTCTTAAGTAAAAGAGAAAATTAGTAAATTACAGGATAGCAAGAGAGCAAAGGTTTCTCTTGAGCAGGGAAAGAGGATTAAGTCATGGGATACCTGATGTTTATATTTTAGGAGGCTCAGAGGGCAGAAGGGAGACATTTCACATGTGATGATTCCTTTTGCCTAAAATCCCAACCCCTCCCCGCCACCATCGACCAAGCACTGGTCATGATAGTCATGATTATCCTATCACCCGCTTCCTGTTTTAGGGAAGTAAGGGCCTTTGGTGTACTTGATTGGACACACACATACACATACACACACACACACATACACACACTTTCTCTGTCTCTTTCTGTCTTCCCTGTCTCAAATCATTTTGGGCCATAAACGTAATATCTGGAAATCAACCTGTTTTCTTTTCCTTTTGTTTGAGACGGAGTCTCGCTGTATCTCCAGGCTGGAGTGCAGTGGTGTGATTTCAGCTCCCTGCAACCTCTTCCTCCCAGGTTCAAGCAATTCTCCTGCCTCAGCCTCCCATGTAGCTGGGGCTACAGGTGCACGCCACCATACCCGGCTAATCTTTGTATTTTTAGTAGAGATGGGGTTTCACCATGTTGGCCAGGCTGGTCTTGAACTCCTGACCTCTGGTGATTCACCTACTTCGGCTGAGATTGCAGTCGTGACCCACCGCACCCGGCTGTTTTCTTTACTATAGATTTGCAGCTTTGGCTTATTTTGAAGACAAATTGTTGGTTATCAGTAGACTATAAAGTGATGTCTGTAGTCTCATGAGTGCTATTTTTAATGAGTGTATTTTCCTTTCCGAAAGGTGCAGATTCACTTTACAGGAACAGCTTCAGCTTCAGTGATGAAAAACTGAATTCTCCAACGGACTCTACCCCAGCTCTTCTCTCTCCCACTGTCACTCCTCAGAAAGGTAAGCTCATTAGTTGGAATTTGAGGTTTTTGCTTTTTTACTCCTCTCCCCTTCTCAGTCTCTTCTCTCTCCCTTTATCCCTAAGCAATCTTTCTCCACTGTACAAAACAAACAGGTAATACTTTAAACTCTTAATACTTCGAGTATAAAGTAGAATTGTTTGTTTCTCAGTTTTTTGATCAGTGTGAACATGAAATCAGATAATTTGGGGCAGAAAACCTGAAGTCAAGGGAGAAAGAAAACTTGGAGACTCTAGACTGTTCTCTATCATGTGATGTAATCAAGACTGTGCAAATGACAGTGTTTCTTAAGAGTCTCCTCCCAGACTCGTTGGTTCTAGAATGTAAAACTCAGCAGTTTGCCTTTGCAGAGAGCAGGATTCTTTTTATTGCATTAATTATTTAGCCAGTGCTTTCAGATCATCAATTTAGCGATTAAATGGGTTTGTCATTATGAGATAAGCGATGATCTAACATGATTTAAAATAGCAGCTCCATTCTGCCTCTACTGTGGTATTAATAGACCTAAAACATCTTTAAAGATGCATGAGCAGTTTCTTATTTTTTGGAACTGGTAAAATGTCTCCAGCTAGAGAGCTGAATGTTCTGTTACATTGGACAAGTGCCCTTTTGAAAACAAAAGGGGTTTTTTTCCTTAAGAAAAGTTATACTTGCTGAAAATAGTTGCAGAATGAAATAAAAATGGAATGTAGTTAAAAAGAAATGACAATTCCATCACTCCTTTCACTTTGGCCATAAGACAGGACTTCGCTCTTTTTTCAAGGGGCATTTTAAAATTCCCTTCTCAACACAGCAACATTAGCACCCACTGGGAATTCTGCCACTATCCAGTCCTCAGTCTGTAATGGATCCACTGAATTCAGAGACAGAGCAGTCTAGAAAGTGGCTTAAAACGTGCTCAGATTTGTTACCTGATTCCTACCTCCTCAAGAGGTAAGAATTAAAAAGGGAAAAAAAGCCCCTAGTGGGACAAGGCTGTCCTGAACCCAGAAGCCTCATGGCACCTTCCCTGTACCATTTGGATAAGAAAGAGTGAACTCTTCATTCATTTCGTACTGGGGGACTCTGAGGGCTGCCCTAGGGAGACAGCACGAGCAAGAATGCATCAGCAGGCTAGAGCAGCAGCAACGACGCAATCTAGGTGTCCACTCTGCACGGCGCTGTGCTTCCCCAAGTGTTTGACTAGTAATTCATATTCTACACAAAACCAAGCTTTACATCTTCACTTCCTGCCCCTCACTCTTCCGCAAACATTTAAGACAGTGAAGGAAGATTCCTCTTCCAGGCGAGGGAGAAGTCGGACGGGATGGTGAGAGAGGGTGGTGATGAACTAAAAAATAAAAAAAACACTGAGGCTCATCTTCAGAATCAGTGTCTGAGTTTACTGTATCTAAACGCTGGACCACACACTTAGGGTTGGCTCAGGATACTCTTCAATAAGGTCTCAGAAGATGAGGAGGTAGATGTAAAATGGAAATAATCCATTTTATCAACCTGGAAGTTCCAACAGCCTGGAAAATTCAGTATGGAGTCATCAGCTGTCTTTATTAGGGAAACTGAACTCTCTCTTTCTCCTGTTTCACAGCCAAATTAGGAGACACGAAAGAGTTAGAAGACTTTATTGCTGATCTTGACAGAACATTAGCAAGTAAGTACATGTCTGATATTTAAAACAAAACAAAACAAAACAACTAACAGATACTTCTCATAAGGTGTTATAATGTTAACCAACTTGCCTGGGGGCAGAAAGTTTCATCCTAAGGCTTCTTTGGGTTTAGAAACAGGACCCTAGTGGCTAGGAATGAAATTCCAGGATAAGCTGGTGTTAAAGTAGACCATGTGCATTTCCAAACGGTGAGAACAGGTAACCAGCAAACAACGGCGTTTTTGTTTGAGAAACGGAGAGAGAGCAGGACTGAAGCCTTACCATCATGACGACCTGTCAGGCTTTTCAGGGAAGAAATGAACTGATTAACCACAAGGGCATTACCCCAACAAGCCAGAAGGGCTCCATCCCATGGGCCAGAGTCATTTCCCCAGGTTAGAGCCAGGGTCTGGGTGAAATCTAACTTTAAGGGTTGGGTGCCAAAAGAAAGAATTGGCCTTGGGGGACTTTTCACGAGAGACCCACTCTAGTGACTGAATGACCTAGATTAGGTATGCATACTTGGAAGTCTCCTGTCTGGGAATTACACCAATCGTTACCCTTTTTGTGTGACCAAAAATGTTGAGAACTGAAGACATCAAATTGTAACTGCACTGGAGGGATCCGGAAGAAGTGACCCTCATAATCTGTATACACACTCTATTTCCAAAAGATAAGATTACGAGAGCCAGGAGGGCCAACTCCAGCTTCTGGGATAGAAGGCTCAGCAACTCTACTATGAGGGGTCTTGTTTAGTCACAGAATGGGCTGGGAGAATTTTGTCCCAGCCCCTTAATTTTCCAGTGGAAGGGTTGATTTTCTATGACAAGCATTTTATGCTATTCTTTGCTAAAGAGCTGGTAAACCCTGAAAAATTAAATCCAAAGCTGGTTATTTAAAAATAACTATGTTCTTAACACTCTTGCAGACAAACCTAAACATCAGATAGAAAGTCCTTGTATCATCTCTATTTGCTTGAAGGTTTTAATTGCCTCTTTCCTTACGTACTGCACCAGCCTACATCAGAAGGCCAGGGCCTGTTTTGACAGAGATTATTATAATTGAAGCATAATTTGTATTAGACCCATGTAACAAGCCTGTCGGCCTCATGGAAATTGCAGTGGGTTGCCCAGTCATTCCAGTTAAACAGACACTCATCACGTGGGAAGTCTGGCATTGAGTTTGGTGCTTTGATGCATGTTTGAGACAGTGTGATGTGGTAAAGCATAGGGATTGTGAGCCTTTGCTTGGATAACCTTACCTATCTCTCATTTACAGGTATGTGAAATAAGAAGTAGTTTTGGGTCCTTTCATCATAAGGGAGAAGCTTCAGAAAGCCCCCAGGACCTGCTAAAATCACCTACTAGAATCTGCTGCCAGAGAGGACAGAGACGTGCGCTCAGCCTTCCATCAGGTCACTCTCAGGCTCACCTTAAAATCAGCCCTTCATCCCATCTTTGGGCAATTTAGACAGTGAAGCTGACTTTGTTTACCTGCTTGCAGTGTATTAGAACAGATGATCCATGCTAATATTGTATTTTCTTTTAAAACATAGCTTTCCTGTAATTTAAAGTGCTTTTATGAAAATATTTGTAATTAATTATGTATAGTTGGAAATAGCAGTAAGCTTTCCCATTATAATATATTTTTGTATACAAATAAAATTTGAACTGGAGTCTGCTTCCTTTTCTTTTTTTTATTTTTTAAAATATATTTCCATTCAAATAATATTCTACTGGGAGTAACATGCCTCTTGATTCCTTAGCAAGGCCCCTGGGTGTGTCTGATTGTACTACGCAAGAAGACAGTCAACTTAGTGTTCCTTTGAGCCCATTCAGTGCTCTGGCAGATGGCTGCTGGGAAATTTTAATTTGAGGATTGTGATTTTGTTGGAAGTTAGGTTTCTATTCTGTCTCTGCCCTCCTTCTCATATTTTGGCACCGTTAAAGGTACCATGGATTCTTTCTTTGAATTAAGGGAAATACCAGTTGTTCTTACAATCCAGGACTTAAATACGAGGGAAAGTTGAGATCGCCGGAAGACTTGAACACGATGGTGCTTTTCTAAGCTCCGTGTGTGGAGGAAGATTGCTGATGCTGGTCTTGATGGAATGTCCAGCCAACCTCAGGTGCGAGGCCTTCCACAGGTGGGCTTTGGACATAGAAGTCAATGACCCCTTCTCCCACTTGCCTTTGTGGGGACTGGAGAGAGGCATCAAAATAAAAAAGCTCATAATTTTCTTGTCTATGTTCTTCTGTCTTTAAAACCTCCTCTAAAATGACCGGGCATAACTTTCATGATTGGAATAAAGTTATTTTAAAGCTTGAATCCCTGTATTCCTAAATGACATGAATCCAAACAGAACTACTTATACTCTTACTTGTTTCCTCAAAAGCTAATTACTATTTTAATCTGTTTTTTAGGGGATTGGGAAACTAAATTACACTTTTTAAACTTTTTCCTTTTCCTCAAGCTTTTGGAAAAGCTTTTGGGTTGAACTCAGATCTTTTTCTTTATTTCTTTTTTTGAAAATTGAGATCCAGTTCACATACTGTAGCACCCAATTCAGCGGTTTTTAGCATATTCACAGATACCGCAGTCATCACCACTATCTATCTAATTCCTGTCTCTATGGACTCGTTTATTCTAGATCTTTCATATAAATGGAATAGGTGATCATGTCTGGCTTCTTTCACTTATCTAGTATTTTCAAAGTTCATCTATATGCAGCATGAATCAGTACTTCATTCCTTTTCATGGCTAAATTATATTCCACTGTGTGGATATGCCACAATTTGTTTATCCGCTCACTGGCTGAGGAACATTTGGGTTGTTTTCACTTTTTAGCTAATGAATAATGTTGTTATGAATATTCATGTGTTAGGTTTTGTGTGGACATATGTTTTCATTTCTCTTGAGTATATAACTAGGGGTGGAATTCCTGGGTCATATGTTAACTCTGTTTAACTTTTTGAGAAACTGTCAAACTGTTTTCCAAAGCTGTTTGGAAAAGCATTTGGGGAAAGTCTGCAGCCCCCAGTGAAAAAGCAGGAAGGTCTCTGCTGTGCCCATCACAGAATGGGAAAGAGGGCTCTCAATAGGTCATTCCCTTTGTTTCTCCCCTGGGCTTCCTGAGCTTATCTAAGTTTTTCAGGATGATGTCATACAGCACAGCATAAGCTCTGTGGATCTCCATGACCATCAGCTGGATGTCCTGGTACTCTGCTTCATCCAGCTCTTGCACCTGCTGCCAATAATCACTCACATGGGGCTGCTTGGCTGCTTCAGTCACTGCATCACCGTGCTCAGAGAAATGGAGATTTGAGTGTGGAAGCTGGTCATCGGCTCAAACACCTTCTCCTGGACAGCCACTCCAAAATTGTTTCCATCCTCAATCTGAGGTATCTGCAGTTACAACCAGGTGGTGACCAGGTTGAGCTGCTCAGTGCCATCCTTGATCTCAGGCTTCAAGCACTGCAGAAGGACTGTGATCTCTTCATTGCAGTTCACTGGACCACAAGGAGGACCTTTGTCTTCAACTTCCCCTTTCTTCTTGTCATCCTTGTCTTCCTTTTCCTGCTATTTCTTCTGCTCCTCTTTCTCTTTTTCCTTGACTGGATCAGGCACTGGGATGTCCAATGGGGACTTCAGATTGCTCAGGTTGCCTTCATGAGAGCTGGCTCCTTTAAAAATGCATCCAGCTCAGAAATCTGCTTGGGGAAATAGCTCCTGAGCAGGTTCTCTGTCTTGGTACAGGGGTCTTCATGAAACACATCCACTTGTGGGACACAGGCATCCCTTCAGAAACCTGGCTTTAAGCCCACTTCATTTGAGAACAGTTCCCTTAGGGTTATGTAGGGCCTGACTTGGATTCCTCTAAGGCCAGACCTTGGCTTGGGTCTCCGGCTGGACCCTGAGCATGGCCTTGGCCAGGGCAGGGGGACCCAACATTGCACGAGGAGCAGTACTAGTTCTTCTTAAAATGTTTGGTAGAGTTCAGCAGTGAAGCCATTGGGTTCTGGGCTTTACTGAGAGACTTTTTTTTTTTTTATAGCTTTGATCTTGTTACTTGTTATTGGTCTGTTCATATTTTAAATTTCTTTGTGGTTCAATCTTGGTAGGCTGTCTCTGTCTAGGAATTTGTCCATTTCTTCTAGATTTTCCAATTTATTGGTATATAGTTGCTCATAGGAGCCACTAATGATCCTTTGAATTTCTGCAGTATCATTTGTAATGTCGCCTTTTTCATTCTCTGATTTTATTTACTTGGCTCTTCTCTCTTTTTTAATTAGTTACTCTAGCTAAAGGCTTGTCTATTTTAAGTTTTCAAAAAAACAACTTGTCATTTCATTGATCTTTTGTATTGTTTTCTTCATTTCGATTTCATTTATTTCTGCTCTGGTTTTTATTTATTTCTTTTCTTCTACTAATTTTGGGTTTGGGTTGTTTTTGCTTTTTTTGTTCTTTAAGATGAATTGTGGCTGGGTGTGGCGGCTCATACTTGTAATCCCAGCACTTTGGGAGCCCAAGGCAGGTGGATCACCCAAGGTCAGGAGTTCAAGAACAGCCTGGTCAACATGGTGAAACCCAATCTCTACTAAAAATACAAAAAATCAGCCGAACATGGTGGTGAATACCTATAATCCCAGCTACTCAGGAGACTGAGGCCGGAGAATCTCTTGAAAATTGGGAGGTGGAGTTTTCAGTGAGCTGAGATCATGCCATTGCACTCCAGTCTGGGGGCCACAAGAGCAAAACTCCAACTCAAAAAAAAAAAAAAAAGAAGATGCATTGTTAGGTTATTTATTTGGTTTTTCCTCTTTTTTGATGTAGGGACTTAGAGCTGTATTTCCCTCTTAGTATTGCTTTTGCTGTATCCCATAGGTTTTGGTATGTTATGTTTCCATTATCATTTGTTTCAAGAAATTTTTCAATTTTCTTCTTAGTTTCTTCATTGGCCTACTGGTCATTCATGACGTATTGTTTAATTTCCTTGTATTTGTATAGCTTTCAAAATTCTCTTATTATTAATTTCTAGTTTTATTTCATAGTGGTCAGAGAAGATGGTTGATGTTATATCTCAATTTTTTATTTTTGGTGAATGCTGCATGGCCTGGGACTCAACTTTCAGGGGAGTGGACTCCCCTCTAGCCCAGGACACGCCCAGAAATGCCAGTGCAATAGCCAAGTCCTGGAATCAGGGATCCCAAGAGCCTGCCTGTTCTTCATCCCGCTGCTGGTGAGCTGGTATCTAAGTTGCAAGACAAAGTGCCCTTTACTTTTTCCTCCACTTTTGTCAAGCAGGAATCTTGCCCCATAGCCACCGGAGCTGGGAAAGTGCTGAGTGTCACCTGAATCCAAGACTCAGTGTCTCACCCAAGGCCTTCGACCTTGTACCTGGGTATCACTGCTGGTTATTCAGGACCTAAGGACTCTTCAGCTAACAGGTGATGAATCTTGCTAGGACTGGGTCCTTTCCTTTAAGGCAGCAGGTTCCCTTGTGGCTCAGGGTGTGGCTAGAAATATCCAGGGGTAAGGGTCTGGAACGGGGAACTCTGACTGGTGCCCTACCCTGCTGTGGCTGAGCTGGTATCCAAGATGAATGACAAAGTCCTCCCAACTCTTCCATCTCCTCTCCTCAAGCAAAAGGAAGGGGTCACTTTTGGAGCCATGAGCTATGCAACCTGGGGTGTGTGTGTGGGGATGATGCCAGCACTCCCTTAGACACTCCAGCTGGTGTCTCAGTAGGTCACATGTTCCCCCTAGTCCACTGTCTCTGGGCCCAGTTTATCCCTAGGAGTAGCCTAGGTGTTGCAATCCTTAAGGCCTAGACAGCCTTTCAAGTGTACCTGGGGCTCCAGAGTACTTTAGTCCAGGGTGATGAGGCTTGAGGGAACTCAGGTTCAGACTGCTGGGATCAGAGATTCCCCTCTGTCTAGGGTTTCAACGTTCCCTCTGTGGGCAGGCATCAGCTTACTTTGGTCTGGTTTTGCTTTCTGTTATAACAAGGGTAGCCCTGAAGTCAATGCCTCGCAATTGCTGGTTTCAGTGCCTCGCTCAGTGATATAAAGTTAAAACCAGGTACTGTGAGTGCTCACTTGATTTTTGAGTACCTGATTTTTGGGTGCTTTTCTTTGTGTAGATCGTTGTTAAATTGGTGTCCTTGTGTGGGGTGACAAGCTGTGGAGCTTTCCATTCCATCTTTTTTTTTTTTTTTTAATTTGAGACGGAGTTTCGCTCTTGTTACCCAGGCTGGAGTGCAATGGCGCTATCTCGGCTCACCGCAACCTCCGCCTCCTGGGTTCAGGCAATTCTCCTGCCTCAGCCTCCTGAGTAGCTGGGATTACAGGCACACGCCACCATGCCCAGCTAATTTTTTGTATTTTTAGTAGAGACGGGGTTTCACCATGTTGACCAGGATGGTCTCGATCTCTTGACCTCGTGATCCACCCGCCTCAGCCTCCCAAAGTGCTGGGGTTACAGGCTTGAGCCACCGCGCCCGGCTCCATTTCATCTTGCTTCACCTCTCCCTAGGTTGTCTTTTTAATGTTTAGTTATAGGAGTTTTCTTTTCTTTTCTTTTTTTGTTTTGAGACAGGGTCTCACTCTGTTGTCCAGGTTGGAGTTCAGTAGTGCCATTACGGCTCACTGCAGCCTCAGCCTCCTAGACTCCA